AAGATGAATAACTATCCATCCCGAAACTCATCCATCAGTCAAATAGGACTCATCCATCGCATACATCAGTTAAATATTTAAAAGTCCCATTCATAGATGTCAACTCTCGTTGACTCGTTTGCCCTAAATGAAATAGTACAACCTGCATTTGCATTACTCTGCGGACGGCTACGTGGATAGCAATGTTGAGTTAAATACAATATTGTCTTTGCCTTTTGCGCTTTCAAAAATACGTTGTTCTTTTTGTTGTCACGTGGATAAGATGGCGTTATCCGTTAGAAATAATTCAACTGAAAAATGGAAATAATATACGAAAACATTTATTTCATTTGTTTATAAACACCCTACACTATGCACTCTAATGCAGGGTAATGAATGGGCCCCTTAAGATGAATGGAAGTGGGAAGAGCTACATGGGATTGGATGAAAGCTTATCCAGCTTTTGGATAAAACGGCCCATTCACTACCGGCATGGCAGTCCGGCGCGCAAGCAGGACTCATTATCCTGCGTATGGCCCACGTATGGAGACTCGCAGGTTGCGTTGCAGGATTGCTGGATGGCTCGCACCCTACGACTGCATTCATAATCCTGCATTATGCGGCGGACAATGCAGAGTAATGTAGGTATGCCTTAAAAGGGTCCATTGATTATCACGTGGGCTACATGCAGGATAGTAGATGTCAGCCCCTGCTCGTGCATACATCGCTGTAGCCGCTTGTACCAGTCGACCCGCCACTTCGAAACTCGAGCGGCGGCAATCGGCTAAGAGCAAAAATAATCCCTGTGAGCCTGTCTCTGAAGTTGCAAAACCACAGAGGCAGACGGACCTGTGCGATGAGGACGGCTTCACAAAGGTGATGAAGAGGAAGAGGAAGCCCACCAGCCGTAACCAGTGTGGCACAGCACCGACATGTCTGAACTTCCTGCTGCGTCCGGCCATACCGACGATGCTGCTGTACCTGTCACGACTGCATTACTCCACGAAGTCTGAGGAGGTAGTGGAGTACATCAGACATAAAGCCAAATACACCCTGAGGGTCGAGCGGTTGGAATCACGTAAATTTTACGTGACTCCAATGTAAATTTTAATTCGTTTGTGGTGAGAGTACTGACCGAACACCTGTAGACCTTCATGAAGGAAGAATTTTGGCCGAAGGGTTTCATGTATCGGCGATTCCGCGGCCGGTTACCTGACACGAGACTGCGCCATACGTCGCCGACAAGTGCAATTCGTATAGATAAGTTAGAAATAGTATTGTAATATATTGTATGTATGTTATTCCTTAAGGTATAAAATAGATGAGTGTTTTGATTATGTATGTTAGGCTATAATGTATGTATTTATGGGACTTTGTAACCTGAATGCGGATAAATAAATGAAAAATTACTTTAGGGAAAAATCTTAACACCGCAATTAAGAAATTGCGTTTTCTATGACAATGCCACCTAGTGGTAACCATTGGAACTATTGTTACAAACTGTAGTAAGAGAAGAAGTGATTAGCTTAGGGACAATTATAACACCGCGATTCAGAAATTGCAGTTTCTATACCAATGCAATTGCATTTTCCGATGTTTTCAATAATATTGCCAAAATGTTACAGTAGTTTATAGAGGATGGAAAATGAGTTATATACATACTAATTTTTTGCATTTCAGCATGATTTTATTTCCAGACATAGACAGACCTTTGAAAAAACTAATGGATTTATTTTGTGATATTTTAAGGGTCGTATTCCAGAATTCTACTCAATGCTCAAGTCAGGATTTGAGTACTTGAGTATGATTTCAAGCGCTGGAAATACGACCCTAATAGCAAGGACTTGAGTATGATTTTTAGTGCTTTGAATCATACAACCCTAAGACGCTAAAGAATTCTTTTAATAAAGGTTCCACGTTTTAAAAACAATTAAGTGGCTTAAACACTAACTGCGAAAAGCCATTAAAAAGAGGAAAAAAAAACTTAAAAAAAATACTTTACGTCCTTAGTCTATAGGGACGGACAGTTTGTTTGCTATGAATCGACTTTTTGAATCGTAATGGATCATATGCCTCTGAATCGATCAAGATCCGATCCAATGCTCTTGAATTGCTCTCATAAAAATCGTTTTAAATTTTTGTGTTTGTAATAAATAAATAAAACACTTTTTCTGTATTAAATTATTTCATTGTTATAATAATAATGTATAATTGTTTTACGTTTCACATTTAAAAAAATAATATCACATAACTTTAAGTCCAAAGCATTACTCTCTTTATTTTCCGTTTCTGTACTTGACGAAATCAAAGAGTAGTGTCTCTGTATTATGTGATTAACAAGTTCGTGATGCACACTGGCATATTATGCAATTTCCTCCATTGGTAGTCTTTATAAAATTGGACCACACACTAGATTTAATCGGTGTGGCCATCAGTAAAATCACAATTACACACACGACTAATCACGACAAAAAGTAAAATGAAATACAGTTATGAACAAAGCTGATGATTATTCATCATGTTATCTTATTTGCTTAGTACCGTAAACATTACAGATAAACTAAATATTAGCGACATTTAATATATCGTGCTTCATTGATATAAAGAATTGTGAATACTTATTTATTAACTGACCATAATAGAGATGAAACGGATAGCCAGTAACTATCCGGTATCCGGATTATAAAGCCTATTATTACTATCCGGCTGGATACAATAAGTTCAAAACTGAGAAAAATTCATAATCAGTACACCAAATAATGAATTGATTTAATGATTAAATGTGATTAGTAATAGGATAAACAGCAACTACAGGTTCGTTGACAATTTGTTTATTACTTGCAACTGTAAGAACTATGAAGTTAGATAACGTTATCTGTAAATTTAGTACTCAAATCAATAACGGCAAATTGTGATGGATGACGACCAGTTTTTCTGCATAAAAGTTTAATTTAATTTAATAAATAATTAATTTATTTTCTAAACGAGACCAGCTTTAGAGGACAGTTTTTCACTATAACAACTTGCAACTTTTTTAAATTTAAGTACATACTACTTGTTATTGCCAGACGACCAAATGACAGGGTCACGATTACGATCGATTTGAACTGTCTTCAAATAAAATGTTTACCTACAATAATGAAACGTGTAACATTAAATACTTTTTTAGCATATCTGGTATCAACGCTTAGAATTATTTGGATCACAAACAAATTAATGAAATCAAAACAATAACGGGCGTATGCTAACATACGCCCGTTATTGTTAGCCTAGGCTTATACTATACTAGTTGTTATAAACAACTAGAAATTTAAATATATCCAAAGAGGGATGATTCCTTCTCCATCGCGAGAAATTTGCATTCGGGACAAAAAAATCAATATATTAAAATGTTACTAAATTTGAGATTTTTTTACCTGACTGTTAACATTTTTTTGTTATGTATTTGTTTGTATTATCGAATAAATTAATCGTATTTATAAAAAGCAAATGACCGCAATAGATCAATTCGTCAATGTGTATGTGCGATCATTCACTAATCAATCAATCAAGACGATGCGTGTTGTAAACCGGTCGCAACATGTTTAAGGTAGTGGGTAAGATATCCGGTGGCCGGATATCCGGCTATCCGTCCTAGGTGCACGCCGGATATCCGGTATCCGGCCATATCACCAACCATTTCGTCTCTAGAATCTAACAAATTATTAAGACGAGGCTTTTGTTTAAACTATCAATACTACACAATCTTGACGATTTGAGTCGCTTAATATTAAATCGATTTGCTTAAAAAGGCATTGAAATGAATCGATTAAAAAAATTGGTGGATCGTATTCACTTGAATCGAATTTCATAAAAATCGAATTGTATTGTAATGTGCAATAGGGATGATCGATATTAAAAAAACATCGATGATGACATCGATGTCATAATCGAAAGCTCAACATCGATGTTCGATATTTATCGAAAACCGAACATCGATGTTGGATCCATCGATAATTTTTACATTAATAATTGACAAAGAAATAAAACACAATGTATAAGTTCGAAATTTATTAAGCAACAGATCAAATTATTACATATCCCAATATTTTTTATTAATTGACTGAAGGAAAAGTAATTTTGATAAAGAAGAACCCTTTAATCGGTTTCTTTGTTGATAAAGAGTAGAACCAGCTTTTGAAAACAGTCTTTCGGATGGCGTTGATGTCGCGATAGTACTTAAATATTTTACTGCTATTTTTTTTAATTTCGGGTAAGTGGAACCGATGACATTATTCCAAACTTGGAGAGGATCTTGTTCAAGATCAGACACTGGATTTTTCAAAAAGTAACTCAACTCTGAAGGCATTTCGTGATCACTAGAAAAAGGCGTAGAGTTTTTGTCATTTACAAGTTTATAATGTTCGCTCCACAAATTAAATTCTTCTGTTGTATCTGGCGAACAACTAATAACTTGTTCAATTTCTTCTGTTTCCGTCGTAATATTTAGTAATTCTTTGACACATTTAATTGCTTTCGAACATGCTATGGGATCTTGAAAATGGATATTTTTAAATCTTGGGTCTAGCAATGTAGATACAGCAAGTATTTGAACATGTTCAGAGGGTAACAAGCGTTTACTGATTTCAGATATTATGCTCTGCTTAAGATCTTGACCCAAAGAACTGTTTGTTTTGATGTTATTCATTTTCAAGTTTAGCATTCGTATTATGGGAATTACTTTGCTGCTAGTAACATAGTCTTCTCCACATATTTCTTTAGTACCAACTTCTATAGGGCGTAAAATTTCAAAGATTTCAGTTAACTCTTCAATACCTTTTGCAGTTATCATTGGAGGAGCACTTGTATGGCAATTAACAATTTGGTGAGGTGAGGCCGTAAGTTAACATCGATGATCGATTCCGTTAACATCGATGTTGCGATATTTTTCGTATGGTAACATCGATATTAAAACATCGATGTTTTTGCTTTCAATATCGATGATCATCGAACATCGATGTTCATCGAGCATCCCTAATGTGCATCCTCCCTATTCATAACCTTTGCAAAGCTGAAATCAGCAGAAATCAAAAATATATTTATTTAAATGCACAGTCTGTCTATGTCTAATAGTGTAACATCTTGTCTATATTAAAAATCAGCTGATATCAATTTATTACTAATATAAATAATTAATAAAAACCCATGAATACCATGAGAATTATGAAAACTTTACCTCGCCAATGGCGCTCGATCTCGAGGTGGTAAGATTTCAAGTTTATTTTTCGTCGAAGTCGAACTAGCGTAAAGTTTTAACATCGTTCAACGGCGTACATAGATGAAATTGTGGTCCTGATTAAGACTAAATGGGAACGCAAAGCTGTTTGTTTTCAAAGTTATTTTTGAAAATATCGGTCAAGTCAGTTCAGTTCTGCCAATGCACTAAGAAAAAGAAAATACGTTAATTTTTATTTAATGTTGTACAAGGCCGGTTCGAATTGGTTATAATTTGTAGTTTGTTAATTTTTCCAGTTCCGTCTTGAGCCAAGAAATCATTCATGCGGCCTCACCTATGACTGTACCAGTTCCAGAAGGCGGCCAAAAGCCAGTGTCCTCTAAAATTGAAAAGTTGGTGTCGGAAATCACGACTCTAAACTTGCTAGAAGTATCAGAGCTGAGTCAAGTACTTAAGAAGCGATTGAACCTGCCCGATGCGCCGCTAATGCCGGCGGGCGGGTTCGCAGCCGCCGCTCCCGCCGTTCCCATTGAAGAGGAAGAGGTAGCACCTAAAGCTGTAAAGACTAGCTTTACTGTAAGTGTATTTCTTCTCAATACTTGTGTAGTTGTTTGACTACCTAAAAAAAACTGCATCTCCTTATTTTGGTATTTCGCAGTAGAAACAGAAGGATTTTGCTGTCTTTGACAGTTTATGTCCTCTAGTTGTAGCTTGTGCTATTGCAGTATGGCACTTTGTATGCCTATCAAGATGTAGAGGAGTTTCATCCGTGTCATGGAAGAATCTACTTGTTCTGTTTTTCTCTGTCCAATATTTGACACATGCTTGTTAAAGCCACAATGCCCCATCAAGGCTCTAGTCATCAATCTGTTGCCACTTCTGTCCCGAGCCAAGGTTATTCTCAGTGTTTAGCATTGTAGGCAGCTATTAGGGCTTTTAAGTGCTTAAGACTCTTGGTCTGAAGCTAGATATTTTGAGAGACATATTATGTGCTCTGGTTCAGCAGAGTGAGCTTTGCCAGGCTGTATGCGATTCATGTAAAGGGTTCGGGAAAGGCCTCCCTAGCACAAGCCTTTTTTTTTTTTTTTTTTTTTATACCTGACAGGCAAGTGACTCCACTCCACCTGATGTTAAGTGGAAAGTGGTATCCAAACGCGAAGGAACCTAGTGCAGCGATGGAATCCTCACTGCACTAGCCGCCTCCACCCTGCCTGCCTACAATATGCCTCTTCACGCCTCGTTTGAAGGACCCCATATCATAAGAGGGAGGGAAGACATGTGCCGGAAGGGAGTTCCATTTGTCAACCGTGCGGCAGAGAAAGGAGCCACCGAACCTTTTAGTACGCGATGGAATGCGGCAGGTAGTGAAACGGTGACTACGAAGGCCAGCACGCGTGCTTCTGAGCAGGAACGGGGAAGGGGGGATGAGGTTGAACAGCTCCTCAGAGCACTCACCATGGTACATGCGGTAAAAGGCGCTAAGCGATGCAACATCTCTACGCAGTTGCAGAGGTTCAAGGCGTGATGAGACCTCTTCGTCGCCTATAATTCTAGTAGCACGACGCTGTAATTTATCCAAGGCATCGAGTAGGTACTTGGCGGAGCCGTCCCACAAGTGCGAACAATACTCAACGCAAGACCGGACCTGTGTTTTGTACAGCAGGCATAACTGGTCCGGCGCGAAAAAACGTCGCACCTTGTTCAGGACTCCGAGTTTCCGTGAGGCTGTTTTGATCACAGATTCGATGTAGCTCCTTGGATTCAAATCACAGCAGATTTCCATACCGAGCAAGGTGAAACTACTCTGAGGTGAAAGTGCTGTGCTCATCAGAGAAGGCATGGGAAGGAACGGCGACAATTTTGTTGTTAACGCGCAAACCTGTGTTTTCTTGGCGTTGAACTCAACAAGATTACTGGATCCCCATGCAGATATGAGGTCCAATATCCTATTGAGCTCAACGACAAGATCAGATCGCTCTCTGTCAGTATCGGCGCGCCCAGCTGCGGGGAATCCATGATATCCCCCATGAACAGTGCTATCATCTGCATAACAATGAATATTCCCAAGTGGAAGCATATCATTGATATGCAGAAGGAAAAGCGTGGGAGATAGGACGGATCCCTGCGGTACGCCGGCGTTCACATTCACGAACCTCGAAATGCTGCCGTCAGAAACGACGCGAATTCTCCGCTCACGAAGGAAATCGGCAATCCAGCTGCATAACTGGGCTGGCAAACCGTACGCCGGGAGCTTGGAGAGAAGAGCTTTGTGCCAGACCCGATCGAACGCTTTGGCTATATCGAGGCTAACAGCCAACGATTCGCCACGTTTGTCTATAGCCTCACCCCAAATATGCGATAAGTACGCTAGAAGGTCACCCGTTGATCGTTTCGGACGAAACCCATACTGCCGATCATTAATTATGGAGTGATCTTTGCCAGCTCATCTGCTTGTTCATTACCTTTGAAGTTGCTTATTTATCTTTTCCTGAGAGTATTCAGTATAGTTACACAGTTCTCTACAATCCTCAAAGTTTGGGTAACAGGCTATCTATGTAGAGCAATTTGAGCATCTGAGGTTATGTAGATAATTTTTTTTAAATGTGGGCAGAAAATAAGCATATGGCCCACTTAATGGAAAGCAGTTACTGTCGCCTATGAATGCCTGCAAAACCAGGGTTGCATGAGCATGTTGTCAACCCTTTACAATCCTTCTCAAACCCCGTTGGAAGTACTCCATGCTTCTTCTTTTAAATGTTATGGCTCCATCGAAATAATCAATGATTTTGCCAATGTCAAGTAAAAATAACTGTACTCCATGCTGTATTCCTGCAGTAAAACTCCAACAGGGAGTCAGCTATTGGGGCTTCCACATCCTAATTGTATGTGGGAGGAAGCTCCTCTGAAACCATACACCTCGAGATTGATTCGACTCCAGAGTGTGAGGATGGACTTCCTACTGGTGGCCAGCAGTGTGATGATAAAATGTTGCTGTCGGCATCATGTCTGACATTTCTTCAGAACATTGGCCATTGTACAGGCAATAGAACAGAATAGGGAGGCTAAGTCTCTCCTCGAAGACAGTGGTTCAAAATTGTCTGTAAGCACAGGATCATCAACAATTCTCATAGTACATCTTTGAACTGCATCAATATTTTTATTCTAATGTAAGTGTGCATTTGATCTCCATCTCACCTGATGGAAAGTGGCGATCAGGTCGATGATAGAGCATGAACACCTAAATAATGGCTATTCACTCTCGCCTTGAAAAGGCCCAAGTTATAACGTTCAACGAACAAGTCTGCAGGCATTATCTGCATATAAATGTGCAAGTGCAAATGTTTCGTATTAATCTTTGGAATATCCACAACATGGGTGTGGAAGCCAAGCCTACACCTAGTCCCCCGAAGATGGAAAGGGGAAGGCGGAATTAAATTGTGTAATTTCATCACGCACCCACCGTGATATATCCTGTAAAATACCAATAAGCAGGGAACTTTACTTCGGTGTTCAAGGTTCTGCAGCTTTGCCTCTACTAATTCCGAGTCACCTATAAGCCTCTTGACACGCTTGTCAATTGAATCCAAGGTGGCCAGTTGGTATGCAACAGAGCCATCCCAAAGGTGGCAGCAGTACTCGATACACAACCAGACTTGTGCTTGATACAGCTGAAGCAACTGTCCCAGTGTGAAGTAGCGCCTCACCCTGGAAAGGATGCCACGCCTCCTGGCTGCATTTTTGGCCATGGATTCAATGTATCTGCTCAAGTTCAGATTGGACGACAGGTCCATTCCACGTAACTGGAGACGGTCGGCTATCGGTATGAATATATCACGAAAAGTCGGAGTCAGCTCAAAGGGACTCCGTTTAGTGGAGAATAGACACGCCTGCGTTTTGGTAGCATTAAATCTGACAAGATTGGTATCGCTCCAATCAGAGACTGGCTTGAGCATCAAATCTATCCAATTAACCATGGACTCTCGACAAGACTGGATTTCCTCTCCACTGACCTCAAGTGGGAGGCGATACAGGCGTGTGAGAACAGGTGCCCGCTCAAAGATTTATTTATTTTCGCTGGTATGTCTACTATGTGATGTAGATTATAATGTTGAAATTCATATTGTTTGTTTTAGTTCACTTTTTAACACTAATTCACTCTTTCATTGCTAGTTATCGAGTCCCGTTTTTGAAGGCATTAATAGAGACAGCGGAAACAACAACTTTTGGTAGCACGTTCCAATTATGTACCATTCCTTTGTTGAAAAAATTTTGTGTTGCATGTGTTTTGGAAGGTACACGAAATTGTTTGAGATGGTTTAAAGTTTCTTATAGAATTGTTGGGTATGTGTGATAGATTGTACTTGCACATCAGAATTTTATAAGTCTCGACGACATCACCATGGATGAGTCTTTCTTCCAGAGTAGTGAGGCGTAATACGTGTCTAGTCGAGTCGAGTCTCCCCACATAGGATTTGCGTCGAAGAGCCTGTGGCATTTTAGTTGCCTTACTCTGCGTTTTCAAGTAGGTTTATGTCTTTTTGGAAATAAGGGCTCCAGACTTGATATCCATATTCCATCAGTGGCCATATATAGGTCTTATAGATTTTGAGGAAAACATCTACTGTCATTGTTTGGAGCGATCTGCATATAACATACATATAGGAGTTAGCTTTCTTGACTATTGTAGTGATATGCTCATCCCACTTTAAATTGAATGCGTTATTAACTCCAAGATCTTTTTGAATGTTGACTGAGGCTAAGGTATTTCCAGGTAAGTTGTATGTGACCTTGGGGTTATTGTTACCAAGATGAATATGTTACATTTTGATGCATTCAATTTGATCGTCCAATCTTTGGTCCAGTTTTGTATACGATTTAGATCTTTTTGAAGTTGTCCAGAATTTATAAGTGGATTTGCAAAATAACTATCAGCAGCACAAAGGCGCAATTGGAATGTATGAGCTCAACCAGATCTGTTATATATATTCCAATGAGGTGGGGAACTAGCACTGATCCCTGCGATACGATAGGGAGTTACCGACACGCACCTGGAATGTTCTGTTTTTAAGATAACTATCTATCCATTTATATAGAGTTCCACGTACACCGAAGTGATCTGGCTTCATTAACTGATCCATGCGGCAGTGTTGGGCGTTAATCAATTAAATTTCAATCAGATTAAAAAATCAATTCAATTGAAATCAATTGCGACGTGTCGCAATTGATTTAATTGCATTGATTCAATTGAATTGATTTTAATTGCAATTAAATTAATTGCAATTAATTTTTTTAGTTGTTCTAAGAAACAATTGAAACTAACAATTAAAACCGAAACTACCGAATAAAAGTATCATTATGAATATGGGTTAGAGAGTGGGTTAGGGGGTGGATTAGGGGTGGATTAGGGGGCGGGTTGGGGTTGGGTTAGGGTGGGTTAAGGAGTGATTTTGGGGGTAGGTGAGGGGGTAAGTTGAGGGTTAGGTTAGGGGGTGAGTTAGGGGGTGGGTTAGGGGTTCGGTTAGGTGGTGGGTTAGGGAGTGGGTGAGCTTGAGCTGTTGGTTGTGGGTTGAGCTTGT